AGAATCGGACTGGGAATCGGACTGGGAATTGGATCGGAAATCGAACCAGGACCTCTCACTCCATGGGACGATGCTCAATCCATTGAGCCACACCAGCTGGGAAACCCTCAATCCCCCCCCCTTTTTTTTTTAATCCTCACCCGAGGACATTTTTCCATTTAACCCTCAGACCTTTTTAAACTTCCACATCCATTTAGGGGTGCTGAGGAATATTGTGTGAGAAAATGGTAAATCATGAAATTACCGTTTCATGGAGTTGTGAAGCGTCTGGGACCCAAGAATAAGAAGCTGTTACTTTGGGTAAGAATGAGCCATCCAGAATGGAGCTGGAGTGCAGGCAAGCTGGGCAGGGAGACCCAGAGGTAGGAGAGCAGGCAGGGCACCCCCCGGATGAGCAGAAGGATTCTCTGGGCCCACAGCCTAGTCATCTGGGCATCACAGTGCAGCCCACAACAGCCCCCACCCGCTAACCCCCTGTGAGCCCAGGGCCAGGCTATTATGCCCACGAATGGGGCTGGGTCTTTGGCCAGGAAGAGAGAAAGGCTGGCATGAAGTAGCCTCTAGCTTTCTCCTACCCTTGCCCCTTTCCTTGGTTCTCAAGGAGGAAGGTGGGGCAATAACGGCGTCACACAGAGAACTAAAAGGAAGGACTCAGTTTTCATTTCAAGCTCCTTGGAAGGTTAAGGAAGGCTGCAAGAGTCTGGAAAAGAGCTTGATAAAGCTGAACTTTCAGGTCAGTGTGCCTGGAATTGTGGGGACGTGAGACAGGGCTGTCAGCAAAGGTCAGCTGGGGTTGTACGTCATGGGCCTGTGGGCAAGGACTGGGAGTTTAGACTTTGTCCTGAGAGCAATGGGGAGCCAGGATTTTTAATAGATAGGTAGTGACATAATCAGAATTGCATTTTAAAAACCTCTCTTTGCTGTGGTGTGGAATGGGACTGGGGGGCCAGGCAGGAGGCTATTACAGCACCCAGTCAGGAGCATGTGGGGGCCTGGCCTGGGGCTGGAGCTCTGGAGAGAAGTGGGCTAGTTAGGGATTAGTGAGGGATGGATGCAGTCATGCCTACTAACTGGTCTCCCTGCTTTCCCCTTTGCCCTTTACAGTCTATTCTCCATACAGCAAACCTAGTGGTCCTGGTTAAAACATGAAAGTCCAGGTCATGCTACTCCTCTGGCTTCTCATTTCAGAGTAAAATCCAAAGTCCTATGGCTTGCAAAGTCAACATGGTGCCTACATCTCTCTGACCTCATCTGCTACTCCTGGCCACCTCACTTACATCACTCCTGCCATTTCTTTACTGTTCTTAGGACGAACAAACACCTGCCTCCTCTCCCTGCCCCTACCCAGGGTCTTAGTATTTCCTGCTCCTTCTGCCTGGACTGAAATTTCCTGAGACCCACACAAAGCCTTCCTTATCACCTCAGGTATCTGCTCAGGCCTTTCTGTGAGGCCTTTCTAAATTCCTTACATGAAGGGATCACTTATTCTCTACTATGATGGCCTATTTATTTCCTTTATGGCACTGTCTATAATCTGTACTTTTTATGTTCATTCAAAGTGTTTTCCTGGTAAGTAGCATAATGCCTGGAACATAGTAGATTCTTAGTAAAAAATAAATTGAATGAGTGAGTTGAGGTTGAGGGTGCAGGTGAGAGGCAGTTGCCCTCAAGTCCTCACCTCCCTTTGAGGGTTTAGACAGAATGCCTGCCGAAACCAGAAGGGCAAAGTGAAGAAGAAGGTGGTAAAAGCAGGGAGGCCCAGGATGTGTGTGTGTGTGTGTGCGCACGCACGCTCGCCTCTCAATGCCTGGCTGGGGTCTGGGCAGGACAAAGGTAAGTCTGGGCCTGGCACTGACCAAGTTAATAACAGGTTGTGCCAGAAGCACCAGATAGGGATGGAGAAGATGGAGTGGAGGGCATATGGGAACTGCTAACTCTGCCTGGGGATGGGCAGGCCAAGGCTTTGCTCTAGACAAGGGGACAGTGGAGCTGGGCCTTGAAGAGTGAGTAGGAATCTGCTGAATGAGGAAGAACGAATAAAGTCATTTTGAGCTTGAGAGAAAGTCTGAGATATATGAAAAGGCAGGATGGCTCAAAGAAGGGTGAACTGTCTGGTGCAGCAGAGGAAGTGAGATCAAGAGGTCAGCAGCCTGAGGTCAGAGCGGTTTCAAATGCTAGGCCTATAATTGATCAATCAGGTACTCCATTCTCAGAGTCCTGGGGGCCATTGGAGGGGGTCCATGAAGCAAGGCAGTGAGAGAATCCTCTAGCTACCCTGAAACGGCCCCCAGAAATGCTTAGGAGGCAGAACCCCAGACAGAATGATGGGTAGCATGGGATGGTTGGGCTGAGGGTGGGAAGATGTCCCAGTTTCTGCTTTGAAGGCTCTAGAGGTGAGGACCTGAGAGAGGGGCAGGTTTGGGGACAAAAATGAGAGTTCAGCCTGGACTAGGTAGGCTGGGCACTCTGAGTTGGGGATCTTGGATCTGTCTTTCCTCCTGCCCCATTTCAGGATGGGGATGCTGGGTCACAGAGATATTGTCTCACAGAACCCTGTGCCAAGATTTTCATGTCCACCGCCTTTGGGCTCAGTCAGGGACTCTGAGCAGAGAAGGTGTTTGGGGCACTGGATAGAGACTGAGTCGTGAACCAGGGAGACAAATCAACCTGGCAGCTCTGGACACCACTCCTCTTAGCTCCTGTCTCCCTGACCTCTCTCACCAGGATGCCTGCCTAGGCAAAGGTTGCTCTGGTTGCTGCAGCCCTGTAAGGGTGGAGCTGTTGGTTTGGGGGTACCAATGGTGCCCCAAAGGCAGCTCAAGGAGCCCTCAATTTGGGTGGCAGTCCCTGTAAGGAGGGGAGTCACTGCGCCACCCTGGATTAAGGGGAGTACTGGCGGCTGGTGTATCTACAGCGGAGGGTGACAGTGGGGTGGTGGGTGGGAGTGGGGAGCCGAATCTCCACGGGTTTGAATCTGGGCCGGTTGGAGGCCTGTGCCTGTATTTTTCCACCCCGTTCCTGCGCTTAATTGCTTCCCTGGATATCCTGGCTGTCCGTCACGCCCTCCATTCCCTCCTGTGGTTGGGTGGGGCCCAACCCTTGTCCGCGCGCAGAGCGCAGTGGGGAGAGGAGAGCACACTCTTCCACTGCCCCTCCCTTCTCGGGTGCGGCCGCGGGAGGGCGTGAGTGTACGTGCGCGCGCGACGCCGGGGCGGGCCCTCCGTCCGCTCGGGGCGGGGCCTAGCTGCACACTGACCCTCCGGGAGCCGATAGGTGCAGGGTTGGGGTGGGGCCGCGGTTATCTGCTGGTCCAGGGTGCGGGGCTCCAGGCTCCGCTTCTCACCTCACTTCTTAAGGGCACCTGCTTAATGCCCTGGCCTGAGCTCCCTCAGCGAGGGGAGGGGACGGCGGGAGGAGCTTATGGAAGGAATCCTAGGAACAAATTAAAGCAGGAACACAAGCTCTACGAGAAGAAAACGGAAGTAAACAGTTACGAGAATGCGTGCTCGGCACTGGAATAAATGGGACAGTAAGCACGGATCACTGTATTCCCCAGGAGGAAAGGACTCTACGCCAGTGAGTCTCCAGAGTCAGGGCAACCCCAGTGCTTGTTTTCCCTTAGCCCGACATACCGAATCGAAACTTCTGACAATTGAAAATATACAAGAATAGCCTGGACATGTTTGTAAACGAAGAACAGGAGAGATTGGCATATTAAACTCTAAAACGGTAGTAATTAAATCAATGTGATATTGTCACAGGAATAAGAAAATAGATCCATGGGAGTAACAAAGGTTCTTACAAAAATATGAAAAATTCCTACCTATTATTAACCTCAGGAAAAAGAGTGAGCGGTTTAGAGCATTTCCCACAAGAACCACTTGTTACCCGCTCACCACCCACAAACACAATATATATTCGAGTGAATGCTCATCACTGGTAATCAAAGAAATGCAACTTAAAGCAACTACATATCGCATTTTACTTAGATTGGCAAAATAATAATAATAATGTCCTGTGTTGGCAAGAGCGGGAGGAAATGAGTGTGCTGATGATTAAGAAAATGAATTGATAAGTCTTTTGTGGTTTGTGATAGTACAAAATTGACAATAGCACAAACATATTGTTCGGGTTCACTAAATAAAATGGTATTAAATAAACATGGCTGCTTCTAGTCCGGAGCAAGCTAAGGAGAGGGGAGTTGCACATGACCCAGAATCCAGGAGTGTGCTCGGGTGTGAGCAGCCACAGTTCACCAGCTCTGGCAGCACTGATATTTTTAAAAAGTGCGACCCTGTATTGGCGTGCATGCTACCGAGCCATGAAAGCTCGAGGCTGCCGCAAACGCTGTAAAAACTGTCCTCTGAGTTGGGTGGAGTTTATTCTTGGCTTTGGAGACTGAGCATCTTGAAGGGTGCGGCCCTAGGCGAGAATTCTAAAATCTTCCTTTTCTCCATCCACCCCCGCCATCTCCCCACTAAGCGCGCCCCCTGGTGGTGAGAGAGGAAGGGGGAATAAAAAAGGGAGAAAGGGAGAAACACCGAAAGGGAGAATTCGGAGAATACAGGGAGGCAGATACTGCCCACACTGTCCCGAGATCTCCTCGTCATACACCCCTCAGGGCAATCCCACCGCGCTCATGCTGGTGGCCAGATGAAGCATTTCCTGTCTGTGCTCACCTCTGCCACACCTTTGCACATACAGTTCCTCACCCTGTACAGCCCTTTCCTCCTCATCCCTTAGTTCTCACCTGACACCTCTGACTTCCCGGAGGTCGCCTTACAATACCCCAGACCTCACTCGCCTCCCTTTGAATAGAACTTGTGATTCATGTCTGGTCTCCAGCCAAGCTGTGGCCTCCTTGGACAGCACAGTGCCTGTCTTGCTCGCCACTGCACCCAGTGCCCAGGACATGCTTGGAATCTGAACAGAGGTAGCACTCTGGAGCCGTGGCCTGCACTGGAAGGAGACAGGCTAAGGCACTGACATGGTCGAGACCCAGCAGAGGGAGTTTATTAGACAGAGCAAACACATATTTACACGGGCCGCGCAAGGGGCATTAAAAGAAGCAGAGGCGGCGGGGGTGAGGGTTTGGGGGTGGGGGGTGTTCCAGGAGCAGTTCAGAAGAGTTCCACCTTGGCATTGGGGTACACTGCCACCACGTCATAGCCCTCTGGCGGCTTGACGCGCTCCTTGGCATGGTTCTCACAGTACAGCCGCTCATCCAGAAAGAAGTAACCGCGCTGCTTGAGGTTCAGGCCGCAGTCGCTGCACATGAAGCACTCGGGGTGGTACAGCTTGTCCCGCGCCTTGACGATGGTACCCCTGATCGGAGACCGGCAGAGGACAGCGTTGGGCGACAGATTCGCGAGCACGCCCAGTCCAGGGCGTCGGGCGTGTGTCAGGGGGAACTGGGGTTGCAGAGGGGAAGGTAGGGGCGGATACTCACACGATGCCATGGCCGCAGCGTGTGCACTCGGGCAGCCCCTGCAGGCCACTCAACGGGGCTCCCAGCTTACCGGCCGTGGGCTTCAGGTTCCGGGGACTGCCAGGCCCGGGCCGCTCCCCTGAAAGCCGGAGCGCAGGTGGCATGAACAAGGTGCGGACCGGCAGAGGTCAAAAAAGGGAAAAACTTCATTTGTATGGGGTGTGGGGCTGAGCCAGGTTTTGGGGAACCCCGGCACACAGACTGGGGATGGGGTTTGTTGAGCTTGGGGCAAGGGGCCGTGCCAGGGGGGCCCAGCGAGGGGCGTGGGACCGCGCTAAGGAGACGAGGAAGGGGCGGATGGCTGGGAGCAGGAGGCGTGGTCGCGAAGGCGCCGCTGGGGGTTGGAGGTGGTGGTGGGGCGGTCCTGGAACCCTCAAGGAGCGGGAAGGCAATTAGGAAAGGGGGTCGGCGTCTTACCGCCCTCTCCGGCCTCCAGCATGCCCTGCAAGTAGCGGAAGGAACCTGACTGCTTGGGCTCCGCGGGGGCCGGGGGCTCGGCTGGCTCCCGCAGCATCCGGTACACCTCGGATCCCGCGTGGACTCCACAGTCGCGGCTCCGCGGGAGGCCTCTGGCTGGGTCAGTGCTGGGTGAGAGAGGCACGAAAGGACAGCGTTGCAGTGCTAACCTTTACTCTGTCTGCTCAGAGGACTGGTGAAAATTTCATGGGTCAGAATGCAAGGGACCCAAAAATCAAGTATCAAGGTCATAATGGAGCCCGGTGAGATTTGAGGGACCAGGGCTTAAGATGGGATTTAGCTGTGGCTGCAAAAACCACATGTCTGGTACTACCTGTGGGGTGGAGACACATGCAGGGTGCTCATCTGGGCCAGTAAGGCGGCCTCACTGCTGCTGCCATTGTGAGGGACTGGGAGGCGAGGTGATTGCCCATAAGGAGATCCCAGGCCGGGCCTGCCATCTTCTGGACCAATCCCCGTGGCTGAGGGCCGCCTGCTGATCGTTGGACTGCCATCCTATGAGACAGAGAGAGACCTGAGGTACTGGGAGACCCTATGGGGTTGGGCCTCTGGCCATTCCTAGCACACCTACTCTGCTATGCTAGGCCTTCTTGAATGCTGGCTGGCTACCCCTGCTCTGGTATCTTTGGGCAATGGTGCCCAGCCAGGGAGGGGGTCTGCAGGGAAAGGCTGAGCCTTGGGCCTGGTTCAGCACCACCTACCCTGAAATAAGAAATTTGTGTGGAAAGTCAGACACAAAAACCTGAGGGCCTGAGACTCAGACTTGGCTCGTGAGCCCTGTGTTGGGTCTGACCACCAGTGCCCGTGAGGGATGGTATTGGGGCAGGGGCATCCCAAGAAACTTTTTTTTTTTTGGTGGTACGTGCCTCTAGCAGGAACCAAACCCGGGACTCTCTGGTCCACAGGCTGATGCTCAACTGCTGAGCCAAACTGGCCAGGGCCCAAGAAGCTTTTAAAGGCCAGAGTGGCTGGAACAGAGTTTGTGGCTTCCTTGTAGAGGTGGTCCTGGTGCCAAACCTTCCTACCTGCCAGAACTGTCCTGGGTACTGGATGGGCCCACGGCTAGAAACAAACAAAAAAAAGGAACGATTGTCTGCAGCCCAAAAGGATCACCAATCATTATGTGCCCAAGGGTCTTTGGTGCGGGCAGGCTGAGGATCAAGTGTGCCACTGTGAGCTCAGCCTCCTCTTGGCTTGTACCTCTGCCCCCATTTCCTGCTTCCCAGGCCAAAACGGTGGCCTCTGTAGGCATAGAAGATGAAGGGCAGAGGCAGGGCCAGGATTCAAGGCTCCCCAGCCCACTACCCCAAGGCCAGTCTGATGCCCATGGCCGAAACATTTGGGGAGGAGTGCCCTGAACATACCTCCTCAGCCTGTGAGAAGAGGAGTGTCTCTGTGGCTGTAGATGTGGATCTCTGTTTCTGCAGAGTCCAGGGCCGTGCTGCTCCCGCTGCAGGCATACATGCCCACAGCAATGTGAACACAAGCATACACCCTCTCACAAGTGCGTGAGCATGAAGACAACACACAGCAGCCAATCCACTTACATAACCTAGTCACACATACCCGGGGAGCCAGTGCTGGTCACCCTGAGGATGACTATGGTGGCTTTCATGGCTGGAATGAGGTTGGTGGCCAGAGCAGCCTGACTGTGGGGTGGGGCACAGTCATCCGGGACCGGATGATGGTTTCAGCCTCAGCCTGGAAGGTGACGTATAAATATCCTTTTTGCTCTACAGTGGGGACAGGGACACTAGGTGGGGAGGAAAGGACACCTAACCTAGGGGGAATGAGCCTGGCTTGGACTCAGGCTGCCTCCGGCACTGGGGCACAGTCAAGTCTGCAGGGTTTTGCCTGACTGCTCCTGTTTTCTGTAGGCTCTGAGCTGGGTGGGAGCTTGGGTAATGAATGGGTGGACCAGCAGCTGAATGGGGGTGATACCACCACATCCATCACCCCAACAATGGAAAGGGTCTCTCACTGCCCAGGTCGGTCCCCATCAAGGAGGGAACAGCAGCAAGAAAACCCTCATCTCCTTTGGGCCCAATAAGAGCCCCTGAGAAACCTGAGCACTCTCCTATATGTGTGTCTTCGGGACAAGCAGGCAGGCAAGGCTGGTCTGGCCTCTAATGGGGACCAGATGGACCATGGGCCATGGGTGCAGGGCTAGGCCCAGTACAGAGGAGGGTTCTACAGGAAGGGGAAGTCAGAGGGACCTGGAGGAAGGAGGCCCTCACTTACCCCCACTCAACAGGGTGTGAGTCTATTGCAGGGTCATCAGAGCCATGGCTCCTCCCACTGTCACCCATGCACCAGCCTCTCTAGATCTGAACTCAGTGGTTAGGGCACACATGATGACCTTAGTCTTGATTTGAGTCCTAGCTCTATCGCTCATTAACTGAGCAAGTCACTTCACCTTTGAACCTCTATTTCTTCATCTGTGAAATGGAGCATGTGATGATCTCTCTATCATAAGTTTCTTGTGGCGATAAAATGAGACAGCTGCTTATAAAGCACTTAGCATAGTGCCTGCCACACAGCAAACGCTCACTGGATAAAGAGCTGCCATGGGCATTCCTGAGCCCTATTCCTGGATTTCCCCTCTGTGTGGTGGTGCACCTGGTACCACGTGCTTGCTCTCTGAATACCTGCCAGCTGCTGATTTGGTTGTTGAAGACTTAGTTGAGTTAGTGAGCAGAATGGGGGTAACTGTCTCCTTGCTCATCAGCTCCCACATGACTGTGGTCAGAATATGAGACACCCAGCTTGGATGGAGGTGGGTGCTAAGTACAGATGAGCAGATGGCACCTTCCAGAAGCCAAGCTCTAGCTCTCTGCTAGCCTGGAGAGAACAGGCTGAGTGTGCAAGGGCTGCCTGCTCCACCTGGCTTGCCTTAACCCAGCACCTGGTTCTCAGCCACCCTCTCCAGGAAACCATTCCTTATCATCATCCATCTTCCACTCTGGGCTGTGCAAGTGCATCCTGTGTTCCTATGTAAGGCCTGAGAGGAGAGTGTCCTATAACCCTGCATGGAAGGTGGGCCTGAAGCTCCTGTTGGCCCGTTGCATCCCACGTTGGGGGTGCGTGCGAGGATATCTAGTGTAGGTCTTAGGGCGAACTATGGTTTTCTCCTCCTCTGACAGCTCCAGCTGGGCCTACCCTCCTCCCCGCTGTGGGCAGAGGCTGGGAACAGTGTGGGACAATGGGCCCTGTGTCTGTGTTACTGAGGATGCAGCCCTGCAGGGCTCGGGGGGGGGGGGGTGTTTCTTTCACCACCCATGGAGCTCATGGCCTTTTAAGTACAAAAGGCATGCAGCAGCTGAGGGGCTGCCATGTTGCTTGTGGAGAATGCCTTCACTTCCAGCCTCAGCAGCCTGGTCCTAGAAGAGGTCACTGAGGGAAAGTGTGGGGGTGGGGGAGTTGCTCTACAGCCCTCAGCAACCCCTTCCCTCCAAGGCCCACTGGCCCTGAGCCTCTCCTTGAGACCAGAAAGAGCAAGTCAGGCCTCTTTGTCCTATCCATCCTGGCATGAGCCTCACGCATGAGCCTCACACGAGCTGGGGGCCTGTGCTATGCTGTTCCCTTCTGCCTGGCCCATGTGAAGTGTAGCTGATTTGTCTATGTGCACCCCCACTCAGGCCCCCCCCCCCCCCGCCCACATGGGCCTTGGGTTCATGGGACTACCTGAGCAAGCTTCTGAGACACAGGTGTGGCCATGAGTCTCTACAAGAAGAGCTGAGGTCCTAGACAGAGGAAACCAAGAACCCCCTTTTTGCCCTGCCCCATCACCTCACACTTCACCTCTTCCCTCCCACCTCCTGGGACCTTTCTTTCCTGAGCCTATGGTGTACAGACACACCTTTGGGCTTTTGTATATGCTTCCCGCATACTTCCTCTTCCCATGTTTTCCCCTGCTTTATTCTTTCACCTTCAGGTCTCAGCTTGGATACCCCCTACTTTCTGATCCTTTGACAAAGCCATGTGGGCTCCTTAGACTCTTGGCTTCTGCCCTCCCAGAACTGCCAAGTGTCTCATCCATTTCAGAACAAGCATTCCCTGGTATGTGATAAGCCTCTGGCCTCAGGGATGCCAGCAAAGGCAAAGTAGGGAACAAACGTCAGAGCAGATGGGGATTGGGATGAATAGTGAGGAAGAGGCCACAGCAGATCCCTTCCTCTGATACAGCGAAGCCTCCATGGCAAGAGTGGACACAAGCAGGCCCAGGAGGCTACGGCCCCAGGTGCTGGGGTTCATGGTTCTGGCTCTATCACACACCAGTCCAGTCTCCACCTTGCCCAACCTATGTGGCACAGAGATGTTGAGTCTGTAGAGCAGCCTGGCCCCCACACTCCTTGAGGATAGCACCATGGATGGAACTCTTGTCGTATACGAAGAGATGACTGAGCAAGTAGGCCTTCAGCATGAGGTCTGCTAGATGCATTCACAGGATAGCAGGAGAAAATTTCAGCCTTGCATAGAGCAAGGAAGGGCCTTACATTCTAAGGTCAGCCCTATGGCCCAAGGTTGGCTCCAGCCGGCTGGGTACCCAAGGCTAGGATAAAATACAAGAGTGTCCCATTGCCTCAGGTCACTCCACAACCCGAGAATGTCCCCTACTCTACTCCTAAGCCTGGTGACTTCCTCCTGGACTGGCATCACTGGGCATGAGAGTGAAACCCAGCTGGGTGGGTGGTAGCCCTGAGCCAAGGACTGGCCCGGTTCTTCCCCGCCACAGACACCTTAGTCCCAGAAGCCAGGACTAGAGTACAGACAGGGCCCCTGCCATAAGCAGGGCAGACAGGCCAGAGGCAACTGGCCTGGGGCCCAGTCCTGCCACTCAGTAGCCCCCTAGGAAGGCAGGCCAGCAGGGTGCATGGCGTTTGGAAGGGCTGGTGGGTAACCATCACTGGGGGAGCAAGGGATGGGGTTTGGGCATGCCCAGAGAAGCCTTCTGCTTTGGTCTGGCCTAGGCATCCGAGAACCTTGGTGAGGATATCCAATGCAGTTAAACCTGTGGACTGGGCCTGGCCCCTCTTCCCTGGGCTTGCTCTGTGTCTTTACATACCTGGGTCTCGGGATCGATGTGGATCCTGTGTGCCTGAGCCTTGTTATCTTCTGGGGCATTGAGCCAGCTCCTGCCTTCAGGCCTGTGGTAGGAATTAGGATGGTCAGATATATCTTCCTACTATGTCTGGAAACTAAGACCAAGAGGGGCTGGGTTCTGGGCCAGAGCCACCCAGGACCAGGCCTGGCTTCCTGTACAGAGAAGGACATTACCCACTGCTTTTCCCTGCACCAGAATGGTGGCCATTGTGGCAAGGAGACACTGCTCTAGATTTGACACCCACCTGGGATGGGCTATGTGTCCCTTTCCTACCAGCTTCTCCATCCCTCTCTGGTCTGGTTCCTAGAGAAGGAGCTGCAGCTTCCCCACGCTTCTGGGCCACCTCATGACAGAGTGAAAAAGCTCAGCAAAAAGAGGGCCACCTCATGACAGAGTGAGCCAGGCCTCACACATCCATCAGCTAGGAGTTCATCAACTCATCTCTCTTCTGTCTTCAGCCTCTGGCCAGGCCTGGGGGTCAGGCATCCAAGAGCTCTGGGGGAGGTGGAATGAAGGCTCTATGGGGTGAACCTCCCTCCTGCTGATGCCGGCAGAGTCATCACCAAGTCTGCCCAGCCCAGATTGGAAACAGGCCATTAGGAAATTCCTGCTTCACCATAGAAACCAAAAGCCAAACACCACTCAGGAGGGAGAAAAACATCATAAACCTGCCATAAGCAGGGTAGACAGGCCAGAGGCAACTGGCCTGGGGCCCAGTCCTGCCACTCAGTAGCCCCCTGGGAAGGCAGGCCAGCAGGGTGCATGGAGTTTGGAAGGGCTGGTGGGTATGAAGTGAGGGTAGTTAGACCAAAGGGTAATAATGTCCCCACTCCACCCCAAAAGCCTCCTGGGGTTTCTTCTTCCTACCCACCTCCTGGGTTTTCTTGAGGTCTTACCACTACGCCAGCAGCTTAACCCTACCTCTCTCCCAACCCAGCAGACCTGTAGTCCACACCCACTCTGCACTTCTCACCTCTGCCCATTCCTTGGTCCCCTGAAAACTACCCCCCCCCCCCACAGACTCCGAGAGTGGCACCAACCTCTGTTGCCCGAGGGCAACACCACCACGACTGGCATCTGGCTCCAGCCCTCTCAGCCAGGCTGCCTAGTGACTGCCCCAACTCACAGCTTTCACTGTGGCCTCCACCCACTGGTGCTCCTCTGGGATAAACCTAGGACACCTCGTGCAGCTATCTGGCTTATACTTCCCTGAAGTTTTGCCCAGAACAGAAGTACATCTGGAGTCTGAAGGTCAGAGGGCACAAAGTCCCCAGAGCCATAAGGATAGCTCAAGGCATCAGATCAGAGTGAAGGGTTTATTCATGTGTCAACCTGCATCTCCAGGCCTTTACTTCAGGCTAGGTAGGTGACTCCATCTGCCATCTTTAAGCAAAATGACAGCCAAAGGGTGGGCTGTGCAAAAGCACCTTGTACCACACATAACGTGCAACAGAAGCCCCAGGGTTGGAGCTGATGCCAGGAAAACCCTGGATCTACAGAACGTGGCCAGAAAGTGAGGATAAGCTTGAGTTGTTGGACACCTGGTTTTGAGTTCCAGACAAAATAAGCACAACAGGGAAGCTGGGCCTTTACTACACGTTTCATACTATGCAGAAGTCTGTGGAGGATAAAAGCCCTCTGTACCCAAGAGGCCTGGTAGGGAAGCTGGTCTGGGTAGAGCCCATGTTGGGGTGTCCTTGGGGCCCAAGCATAGCATAGGTCCTGGCAGGATAGAGGGCAGAGTCAGGAGCCTTGCAGGTGAGAAGGTGCCTAGGAGAAGAGGTGCTGGCCCAGACGGTCAATGTGGCCCCTGTGTACTGATCCCTCAGAATCTGCATCTGTGATCATTGAGGATAGGAGGTCTGAGGACTGGACCCAAGGTTTTTTGTTTGTTTGTTTTTTTATCCTCACCCGAGGACATTTTTCCATATTTTGTTCAGACAGAGCAGGAGGTAGAGAGAGGAGGAGAGAGAGAGAGAAACATCGACATGAAAGGGACACATCGAGTGGCTGCCACCCGCACGACCCAACGAGGGCCGGGGACAAACTGCAACCGAGGTATGTGCCCTTAGCGGGAACCGAACCCGGGTCTCTCTGGACCGCAGGCCGACGCTCTAACCGCTGAGCCATACCGGCCAGGGCTGGACCCCAGGTTTTTACCCTGACCAAGCAGACTTAGTATACGTCATCCACAGTATGCACTCAATCCCCAGAGCATAAGTTCCCATTTTGGAGTTGAGGAAACCGAGGGCTTTGAGATGAAATCACGTGCTGGAAGACAGCGGTTCCCAAGTGCAGAGCTGGAACGGGAATGATGGTAGTAGAGAACGTGCTCCGTGGCCAAGTAGCATTTGGGGACTGAAATGCCCAGAGTGGAACAGGTTAGTGGATCCTGGGCTCCATCCATGCCTGGCTTGGAACAAATGACCAGGGAAGGAAGGAAGGAAGGGGGCCCTCCACCCTGCCCCCACCCCACCACCCTGCCCTGACATCATTGCCTCTGGGAACCTCCCCCATCCTCCCCACCCCCCGCCCCAGCCCCAATACCACCAGGGCTTCCCTTATTCAGCCATGAGAGTTGAGGCCGGAGGTGAGTCAGGGCCCAGGAGCCCAGCCAAGTGGGGTGGCCTCAGAGGCCACTCGTGGGCGAGCAGTGCTGATGTTTCCCTGGGCCAGCCGGTACCTCAGTCTGGTACAGGGTGATGAATGTGACCCTGCTTTACGGAGAAGGAAATCCAGCCTCGCAGAGGTTATCTGGGGTACCTAAGATCCCAGAGTCTGAATGAGGACCAGCTCTGCTGAACTCCCAGGCCGGGGCCTCTTCACAATGGGCCAGGTAGAGTGTACAAGGCCTGGACTTACAGCTAGACCCACTTAGTACTGAGAGCATAGCCAGGGGCCCTGACCCCAACTGGACCGGGGCCAGACACAAATGGGGCTACTTCAGAAGCCTTCCCACCATGTTTAATGGCCCCAACCTGAGAGATCACCTCCCTCCCTGCCATTTCTAAGGCATGGTTAGCTGTATTGTGGTTTGGGGAGGCTTCTCCCACACATGTCCACAGCGGTTCATGGAAAGTCCCTGTTATCAATGAATGTGGCAGAGCTCAGCAGTTATGTCTGACTTCTCTGGATCTAATCAAGACAGGGGGCAGAGAGATCTCATTCAGCCGTGACCCAGTCAACTGTCGTCAGAACTGAACAAAGACCCAGGGCCTGAGCAAGGTGGGGAACGCCCCAGGTGGACCTTCCATCCTAGACCATCTATAGGCCATAAATGGGGCTTGGTGACTCCCAATCTTCCCCTTCATGAAGGGCTGTATAACATTACACAGCCATGACATCCCGATGTAACCAGGGCAGAGGCATAGACCATAGTGGGGACAGCTGAGTTACAGAAGCTGTGGGGCTGGTAGGGGTGGTCAGCAGCCAAGTAAGAGTGGAGTTTTGGGGAGTGAGAAAGACCTGAGGTCAAATTTTATTTCTCAACTCCCTCGCTGTGTGACTTTAAGCAGCCTCTAGTCTTTCTGAGCTTCAGTTGTCTTATCTGTAGGCTGTACTTTATCAAGTTGGTTTGAGGCTTAAACAAGGTGATGGACAAGAAAGCTCTTTGAAATGGTCATCAAGCTGGTCACATAGGGGTGGGGAAAGAACTGAAATCACCCCTCTGGAGGCTACCCAACGTCTTATTTTAGCCCTGATGTGGGGCTGCTTACCTCCTGCCATAAGTCCCCCAACACACTGCAAGCCCTGAGTTAAAAAGGGGCTTCTTTCCTTCTCAAGCCACCCCTATCTCCAGGGCCTGCCAAGCCCCTGTGAAAGCACTACTCCTTAGGACTGGGGTGCCTGGGAGCTGAAGCAGAGAGGCTGTGAGGCCCAGCTCACCCAGGATGCTAGCCACCCATAAAGTATCCTCCCCTTAAATCACCCCCCTTCCCAAGCCTCCTGGCCCAGCCTGCCCTATGCGTACCTGCTCACGGAGAGCGTGAGGTAGTCTTGACAGCCCTTGATGCGATTCTGTGCCTCCAGGTGTGTCATGAGCTCTGTGTTCTCACCATTGATGGCCTGAATCAGGTCCCCAGGGCACAGGGCAGCCAGTGCAGCCTTGCTTCCAGCATGGACCTGTGGGTGGACAAGCCAGATGGCTGGGCATTGGTCACAATGTGGCCTTGCTGCAGCCTCTGCTCTAAATACCCCAACTCCAGCACCTGGAGGCCTGGTGGGGTGTGAGGGCAGATGAAAGGGGCTTCCTCTGGGCTGGGACAAGTGGGATGTTACTCCTGCAGCCTGCATATGTGCCCAAGGATATGCAAGGGACACACAGGGATAATGTGCTCCTAGATACATACAAAGCATGGTCATTTCACAAATGCCCTGCACAGACAGTGCCCCACCCAGCCAGACTGCATAGCAGCCCCATGACTGACATTCAAACCCTTAGTGACCTTGGCTTCCTATCTGTTTCCTCTTATCCCCACCCCACATTCACCTCCACCCACCCATACTCTATCTAGGTCATCTGAATGTCCAGCGGGTACTCACGGGCACCAGGTGTCTCTTACCTTCATGCTTCCACTGATGCCGTTCCCTTCACCTGTAACGTTCTTTCCCTTGACCCCAAACCCTAATTACCAGCTTACTCCTCCTCATCCTGAGGTCTCCGCTGAGAGGCATTTCCCTGAGAGCCTTTCCTCTGGGCTCTCAGAGCACCCTGCGCATCCCTATACTACTCTGTTCCCTTAACACTGTAAGTGCCTCACTCTAGGTCTGGGCCACCGCCTCCCCAGGTACCTCCACCGCCATCTAATTCCAGTTGCCAGCCTGCTTCCTGGGTCACAATTTCACCTCCACTTCCTCTGCAGGACAAACACTCACTCAGGCCACCCTAGTGTCACTACTAACCCCAGAGGGTCAAGTGGTAGCCACAGCTGGAGCCTCTTACAATGCTGGCTCCCTGATGAGGGCCACTTGAGGTTGGGGACAGGTTCACAGAGAGGCCTGAGTAGGCAGCCCAGAGAACCTTTCATCCTGTCCCAAGTCCTGGCTCAGCCTTTGTAAATGGACGTTAGGCACCCTCACTCTTACCCAGTCTCTCCAGCAGTGCTCTGCTGTGGCTCAAGAGCTGCCAGTCACCCTGTTCCTAGTGCTGGGGGGTGGGAGCTTCTGGAAGCCTGGCCAGACTTAACTAGTGCTCAGTATTGAGTTGACAAAGCTGAGGTGCTGGCAGCTCCTTGGCTGGAATCCTGGTGTGGGCACTGCCCGAGCTGACCTACCCGGAAATAGGCTGCCCCAAGGAATGTTCTGGAGCATGACACCCGCAGCCACCTGCCACCATTAATGTTCACTCATAGGGCCTGGGTCCCTGCACAGGCTTGTCCTCCTCAAGGTCCTGCTTGGGCCCCCTCTCTTTCATGGATACCAGCTCTGTGACATGGCCTGGGCTCAGTGCTTTACCCAGAACTAGCTCATGGCAACTTCTCAAGCACCTGATGAGACAGAGGCATTGTTATCCGTATTTATAGACAAAGAAAGAGAGGCTTGGGGGAGGGCCCTCATGCCTGTCCCCCACTGGAGTCTTCCTCAGAGGGACGGATAGCTGCAGGATGACTCAGCCAGCACAAGGGCGCATTCAGGCCCCTGTGGGTGGGGGAAGTTCTCGAAAGCAGAGGTGGCTGAAACTCCTGCCAGCTCCACTAGCCCGGAGAGTTCTGGTCAGAGAGGGCGTGAGGCCAGGAAATGGTGACTCTCCCATCTGACTTTCCATGCATTGTCTCATTAATCCTGAAGGCAAGCCCATTTTCTAGGTGAGATAACTGAGGTCCAGGGAAGGACAGAAGGACACTCCACTGATAAATGGGAGTTAGGATTTCAATCCCAGCCAACTGGTTCCAAGTCCTGTGCTCGTAACTACTGTATGCTTTTCTGCAAAGGTGTGTGTGTGGGGGGGAGTCCCAGGTAGAAGGATCAGCGTGTGTAGTAGCTCATCTAGGACACAGAGTAAAAGCAGGCTTGTGGCTGAAGCATCATCACTGAGGAGAGAGTGGAAGAGATGAAGCCAGAGAAGGAGCTGGGGCCAGACCTGAGGGCTTTGTAGGCCCAGGTGAGAAGTTAGCATTTCTCCTATGTGGGTGGGAACCATGAAAGGTTCTAAGCAGGGATGTCACAGGACAGAGTTGAATTCAAGGCTAATCCCTTTGGCTACTGAGTGAAGGATAAACAGACAGAAGGAAGGAAGAGGGGAGGAGTGAGTCAGCTGGGAAGCTGGGCCATGAACCAGCCCCCTCACCTATAGCCACTACTATATCCCCAGCCCCTGCTGCACTCTGCCCAGCCCAGAGGCTGTGATGGGCTAGGAGCCAGAGTCAGGTGCCATACCGTTCCACACAGTCACAGCAAACTCCCGCCAGGCCTGGGTTCCTGTCCCTGCTCAGCTTCTCAGGGTACATCACCTTAGCCTCTCTGAGCCTCAGTGTCCCCATCACTAATGTAAGGCCAGAGGGAGTTCTTCTAAGGGTTGCTATGAGGACTATCTGAGACAATCAGGGCAAAAACCTCCCATGGGGAGGGGGTTGGGAATACAGTGATGCTCATTCCAAGTACCCGTTGCTGGGGAGCCGGGACCAACACCCTTTAGGGTGTGGCCTGGACCGCTGTGGATGCAATCACTATAGTTTGTGGGGAAGGAGTCCTGGACAACGTTCTTGGAGGCTTTGTGGGCTAAGGTTGCAAAGTCCCAGCTTTGCCAGGCAGCCAGCCTCCTCCCTGTCTTGAATGTAGCTGTTCCTACTGGGTTGGGGAGGCCCCGGAAACATGGGAGGGTTGGGTCTTGAACCCCTGGGTGAGGACATTCCCATTTATACTGTGTCTGCAGACCTGCCCTTGAGGTATCTGCTGGGCAAGCTGTGGCCTGTGCCTCCCCAGCCCCGTAAATCTCCCCAGATCCCACCCAAGCCCAGGCTCAGCCATCTTGGCTCCTCAGACCTGAGCAGCTGCTGTATGACTTTGGGGGATAAATGGGGTTTCTTCCAGGTAAACCATCTCCCAGCCTGCCTGCATGCCAGGGGCCTGCATCACTGTCAGTTCCAAACAAGGCCGCCGCTGCTGCCGCTGCTGCTGTGACGTGTGGAGGCCTTTCCTCCGAGGGCAGGCAGCCGCGTGGGCAACAGATGTCTCTGCTCCCTGCCGCCTGTGGCCGTCAGCCGCCGCCACTGAGCCTGTCAGCGGCCTCACGCCCAGAGTGCCTGGCCCACCGGCTAGCCTAGCACCCCCACCACCTATGTGGACACACAGCATGCCATACACAGGCAGGCACAGATGCTCACACACACACACACACACACACGCACACACACACCCAGCACGGCTCCCTCAGGAAAGTGGGAGATGAAAAGCTCCCAGATATGTTGAAGGCCTACCACACTCAGCCCCAGGGACCTGGTAGTGTGGGGCGAGGGCAGATGTAGGAAGTCTCCCAGGACAGCTGGGCCTGCCAGTCACCCTGGCCCCCAGAAATGGGATTCCGTGATTCCATGGTCCACCGGGTGCTCACCCCCTTCCCAAGAACTGGAAAAAAGTGTCTGAAGGTCCAGCCAGCTTGGTCCATCCCCCATGGGGAGAGGTGGCAGTAGGGTGGGGGAAGGTGGTTCTCAGTTCCCCTGACACAGGTCCCCGAAAGGCCAAAGCAGCTATGTGGGAGCAAAGGATGGCTTTCAGATGTTCTCAGATGCCCTTCTCTCTTTCCTCCAGACTGGGAGCCTCCAAGGGCAGGGCCTGGGTTCTCTCCTCTTCTGTCCCTTAGGCTGGGACCCCTAGGGGCCAAGTCTGAGTCCTCTCTTCTGGCCCTTCAAACTATGATACCCCAAGGCTGGGCCAGGATGCCATCTCCCGCAGAATGGGCACCCCTTCTGACAGGGCCCGAGTCCTCTCCTCTGCTTCTCTGAACTCAAATTAGCAGTGGCCCAGGGTACTACTCCCTTCCCTTTCTCCTCTGTCCTAAGCCTCGAACAGTACATGGTCCTGGAATCTTGAGGAACTGGGCTGAGGCTACCCTAGCCTCTGGCCTTGTGGGGAGAGGTCTCACAAACTCACAGTCAAGTATCTCCTTCCCCTGGAAACCAAAGATTCCTCTTGGTTACTTCCCCTTAGGTCGACTGAGGTCACTGATGAGAGACTGACCAAAACCAGTCTGGGGAGGAAGATGGATCTTTCTCTTTTCATATTCCAAGAGGACCCCAGCTCTACTGGCAGTGACCTTTGATATGGGGAGGAGACTCTGAATCATTTTGCCCCAAATCTTCAATTTGAGTTCAGTCTAAGGAGTGTTTCTGAGCTTCTATAGACCTGTCCAAACCCCTGGCCCATGACTGCAGTTCTTCCTTGGCCTGCAGTGACTACCCCAAAATGAGGCCAGCAGGAAGGCTGGTGTGAGGATTCTTGGGGTGTTCCTCCAAGGGATAGGGCAGGCAGGCCCAGCAGAAGGGAGGAAAAGGGCTTGGGGTGACAATGCCCAGCCTGGAAGCCTCCTCTACATTCTGTGGGTCGCTCAGGTCATCCCTTGGCCGTTTAGCCTCAGGAACGTCGGGATCCGAGCCCCGGGCGGATCGTGAGGACCGAATCTCTGATCCAGCACCTCCCCGCCGCCCCATGGCCACTGGACTCACCCGCGAGATGGTGAGCGGCGCGCTGAAGTCCCGGCCGCCCACCAGGCGGAAGCCCCAAGGCGAAGGGCCGCGCAGGGTCACGGAGTGGGGCATCCCGGGCAGGAGCCGCAGCCGGAGCCAGAGCCGGACACTGAGGAGCCGCCGCCGCCACCGCCGCCGCCTGGACGCCGCGCCCCGCCCCCGGCCCGCCCGGCCCCGGACCCCCCTCCGCCCGGCCCCCGCCCCCCTTCCTCGCGCTCCCGGATTGGCCCCGCAGCGGTCCTGACCCTCCCACTTCTGGGGGTTCTAAAGACCCGCCCCTCAGCCCAGGCGGCCTGCCGCCTCGCACCCCCTCCGGGATCTCGGAGACCCCTGCTCTGGGACGGCCCCGACGCCCGGGATCCTGTCCCGGCTTGCGCTCTGCGACAGCTCTGGCACTGGCCCTTTGAAGTCGCTCCTACGGGGCGGCGCCCAGCCCGGGGAGTGATGGGGGTGGGGGGCAGCTCAGGTGGGGGATGGGGCTGTGCCCTGCTCAGAAACCTTCTCAAAGTGCTGGCCGACAGACCTGCGACTCCACCCCTTAGTGCGGCGACACCTCCGAACAGCGAGCACTGTTGGAGAGCTCTGGGCCTGAACAGGCCTGGGTCAGGGACACAGACCCAGCATGACAGCCAGCACTGGCAAGTATAGGGGTGGGAAGAGAAAGGTACTCAACCTCTTTCCTGGAGGCCAGGAAAGCTGTCTGGAAGAGGGACCCCCGACTTGCGTCTAGAAGCAAGATGTCTTGTCTTGTCCTTCCAGGTATCACTGCTTCTCCAGGACACTTGTCCTTCTCCTGCACAGCCCTTTCCCCTCCTCCCTTGCAAGCAGCTTTGTTTCCCCAGGCTTCCTGAAAAAGGAGCAGCTAGGGTAGCAGCTGTGCCACAAAGAGAGGAGTGAAGTACCTGAGTGGAGTGGAACTGTGGGCAGCCCTTCACTTGGGGCCCTTCCTGGTCCTCTCTCCACTCCCAGCCATGTACTCCAGGGACATTCTTAAACAGCCTTTGCAGGTGCCAAGGCTTGGCCAGAGGGCTGCCTACCACTGTCTAGCTTTGGACACTTTGTATCTGGGTGCATCAGTGTTTGCTTCTCCAGACCCTAGGAGGTCCTTAATTTAGCCATTCTTGACAACCCTATGGCCCTCTTAGCCGATTTCTGGTAAGGGCTCTGTCCCAGGGAGGCTAACAGGCTGTGGAGTGAGATGTGTTGGTAAGTATCTAACACCTCCAAGGAGAAAGGCTGCTTAGGAGGGACAAACCTAGGGTAGTCCAAGGAAGGTGGGCACCCTTTGGTGTGGAACATGGATGCTTCTCTGGGAGATGGGGAGCTGCTGTCTGTTGAGCTTGCAGAGAAACGTGAATGGTGTGTGTAACAGTCGTGTATATGTGTGTGTGTGGGGGGGGTGTCCATACCCACAGAGCATCAGCCATTGGGCACTCAATACTGTGAGTTGGAGCAGGTTTCTGGGGCCCACATGGATAGAGTGGAAGGGTCAGTAGGAGAGTTAGTCTCTGGATGGTCTCTCAGATGCCCTTAGGCCAGAGGCTCCCTAGAATCTGGACCTCACTGAGTGACTTGGAGAGTACTGACTGTCCGAGGGCTAGGTGTACAGCATGGCTGGGTGGTCAGACACTCTTTACCTGGACTCCAAGACCCATAGTGAATGTAGATGGTACAGAGCTTTGCTGGGTGGGAGAGGGGACCTCAAGAGTCTGTGTAGGTTTCTACCCAAGGCATCCCATAGTGGATTCCTGAAAGTCCTCCTTAGACATTGCTTTCTTCTTAAGTTACACACCCCCAGGGACTGTCAACCTTCACCCTGAAATCTTTTCATTGTCTTCTTGTTTACTTCCATTTGAGTGAGTATATCACCCCCTTCCAGGAGTGGTCCTCCTGAATATGACTTTCCTAGCCCTTCAGCATCTGGCTAGTTTAGTCCATCTCGGAAAGCTTCTCTCACAGGGTAGAAGATGGGGGTGGGGTGGGAGTGACTCTTCTAGAATCTGGTACATAAACTTTCTCATTTCATAGTACAGTTTCTGGGGCAGTTCCCGGTTCATGCCAGTCATTTCCCACAGTAGGTTCTTGATGACATCTGTACTTGAGGATATCAGAGGCCCATTTCTGACAGACCTAGGCTGGGCTATATTCCTGGAGACTGGAGGTAGCCCTTCTTAGGGGCCACACTGTGAGTTCACTCCTGATGTAACCTACCTCCAACTCACCGCCAATACTTCCTCCAGGAAGCCCTCAGAATTGTTTCACTTTTAATGGCCTTGTTCCTAGGGGATTGCTATGTTGCTGAATCTCTATCATACTAGACTGCTCATTTCATGCATTCTTTATCCATTCAACAAGTGTGTATTGAGTACTTTCCATATGCCACAGCCCAGGCCTACCCTGGGCTGGAATCAAGAGATCCATGGGGTAGGGTCTATATCTATCTTATTTATGTATGTTTCTCCAGCACCGAACAGAGAGCCTGGCGCACCAAAGGTATTTAAAAACACTTGCCACTAACAGTATTATTACTGCAATATTATTACTGAGAATTATTATCTCAGCTCACCCTTGGGCCACAGCCCAGAGAAAGGAAAGGAGAGCGTGAGGGGGCCGAAGAGGGGGAAGACTTTAGCTCCTACTGACTTGGAGACCACACCCAGTGGCTCTGTCCTTCAGGAGAGTCCTAAGTGGATCAGGGCACTATGCCCAGGTACAATGTGCCCAGCCAAGTCTGTCCAAGGTCAGAAGAAACCACAGTGCTTTTTCCTCAATGGACTGGCAGGTTCAGGCAGAAGCAGATGCCCTTGGGAGGTGGCCTTGAGGCTGAGCCTAGGGGAAGGAGAAGGAAGGGCTGGGACAGGAACAATCTTAGGTTGAGGGTAAGGTCAACTCAGTGGACTGCCCAGAAGTGGAAGCAGCCTGGGGAGGGGGAGAGGGTGAGGTTGATGGAGCAGCCCTTGGGAATACCATCGTGTGAGGTGCTAGGGACTGGCCAATGAGCTCAGACCCTGACCTCCCCTGCCCTGGCTCTGTTGCCAAAAATCTCTGGGTAGAGCCTGCCACATTCAGGCTCAGCTACTAGGGACCTCCTTGAAGGCCCAGCTCCCTCCTCTCAGACAATAGCCTGAATTCCAAGGGGGATTGGAGTCCTTGATGGGCATTCCCTCTTCACAGGATGCTCAGTCCAATCTAGGCCCTCAGAGAGTAGCCCAAGAAGAATCTGAGAAGCCCCCATTGTAGTGTGGCCTGTCTAACCCAGCTCCAGGTCCCATGTGCTCTGGTCACACAGGGATATGCTCTCCAGGAGGCCTGCTGGTCAAGGCTAGGAGCCTGTGAGTCTGTGGGATGGAGAGAACAGCAATTGGGGGCAGGGCTGGATGGACCAGGTCTGTGCAGGCCTTCTGCAGGGCTAGGACTTGGCCCTACAGTGATAGAGAGCTAAGGCAGGTCCTAGGCAGGATTTGAGGGGCTCTGAAAGGGGTGGAGGCAACCAGGGACATAGACACCAGACCACATCCAAAAGGAAGGTCTAGGGTGGTATAGCCTATGAGGCAGGTTGAGGACTGATGCTCCACATATCCTGGGATGACAGTCAGTCAAGGAGGCAACAAAGCTGGCCTTTGAGCTGTGTTGGGTGCAACAGAGCACACAAGGGAGGGTGTGTCTGTGACAAAGGGAGTTTCCCAGCTTTGCACCAAAATAACAAAAATAAAAAATGATAACAAAAAACAGTCCAATAGTTTTGTGCCATTTGATTTCTCAACAAGCATTTACTGAGTGCCTGCTGTGTGTCTAGCCTAGACCTGATGAACTAGCCTCGGAATTGTGGGGACTCCCTACACTACCGCAGCTGGGCCTCCTCTGGGGACTGAGAGGCTGGAGGCTCTAGAGGAGCCAGTCTGTGAGGATCTCAACAGGGACCAGCTGACTGTGACAAGTGGAGCCTAGTTACTGGCTCTGAGCCAAATTCCAGGGCTGACAGAAAAGCAGAACCAATTCTCAGCAGGAAACTGCGCCTTGAGGAGGATGAGTGCCCACCCCAAGCTCACATAGCTTCTGAGCAGTTGATTTGAGCTTCTAAACAAGGTTAGACCCTGTGTTGGTGACTATACTATGCCCCTTGCACCAGGGACTAGTCATGTCTCAGTCATACCTACAATCCCCTGTCAGACCTGCTTTGTTTATGTTTTCACAGAAAAAACCTGTCTGCTCTGGGACCCAACAAAGGGGCTGCCAGGCAGCAGGGTGGAGGCCAGTTTACCTAGCTGGCTCCAGGAGGTCCTGGCCCTGAGGCCTGACAGTGGAGGGTTTTGGGAGGAGTGGCATCTCACACAAGGGGGGAGTCAGCAGACAGGTGGGAGAGCCAGAGGCGTCTCATCCCAGTCTGAGCAGGGAAGTGACTGAACAGGCAGTGGCGACAGGAGCCATGTGATTGAGTGTTGTGCAACCGGGGGATCAAGAAGGCAGCTTACAATGGCACCAAAGCTCCCCTGCCTCAAGGATGTCCCCATCCTTACCCTCCCTCCCACTTCTGTTTCAGGCCAGAGGGTGTAGGTAGCCTGCTCTAGATCACTCAGCCTCCAGTAGCCCCCAAATAGAAGCACAACCCAGGGGTTCTCAGGTTACCAGCTTCTCCTGATCGTTGAAGGCTTCTAGCAGCCGGCCACACTGGGCCCTGTGCAGAGAAGGTGCCTCCTTTTATAAAGCAGCTCCTCCAGGTAGAGAAGCAAAGGAATCAGAGATCAACTTGGACTGTGTGCTCATTCTGTGCCCTGGACGCTCATGGTCCTGGCCTGACTATTGTCATGCTCTGGGTCAAGCAGGGTGCAAGCAACAAAGGTGTACAGCACAGTGGTTGGACAGTCATACACCTCCCAAAGTGCTCCCTCTGATATTTCTCAGCCTGGGGAGAGATACATGTCTATAGGTGCAGTTAAGGTTGTCCAAAAGCACAGGGGTGATGAAGGGGAAACAAGCATAGGATGTAGCACAGGAATCCAGTTACTGGGGCTCCTCAGACACACACTGCCACTCAGCTATCAGTGTGGGACTGGACTTAGCCCTGCCCCAGTCCACATACCCACAGACACTTATGTTCAGCAGTTGCCTGGCAAGGACACTCTGGTCTCCACACCAGAGCTGACATCC